TTGTTCTCCTAGCAGACCATGGTATATTCAACACTCTTCTCCAGCACCACAGCTCAAAGGCATCAATTCTCTTTCTATATACCCTAGTCACTGTCCAACTCTCCGATGCATAGCACGTAATTGCGAAGACTATAGCCCAGATCAGGCGCACCTTAGTCTCCAGTCTGACATCGTTGCTCTTCAGTACTCTTGAGAGGTCCCTCACAGCCAACTGTCCCAATGCAATTCGTCTCTTGATTTCCTGGCTGCTGTTACCAAGAGTGTTGACGGTGGAGCCAAGTAAACTAAAACTGTTAACTATCTCAATCTCTTCACCATCCATACTGATGCTGCCAATTGGCCCAGTGGTTAGAATCTTTGTTTTCTTGATGTTGAGCTTCAAGGCCATATAGGAGGCTGTAGTCCTTGATCTTCCGCAGCAAGCGCTTCAGGTCCTCCTCAGTTTCAGCAAGCAGAGTTGTGTCATCTGCATAACGCAGGTTGTTGATGATTCTTCCACCAATCCTGATGCCACATTCCTTTTGTATAGCCCAGCGTCTCGGATGATCTGTTCTGCATACAGGTTGAAAAGGTATGGAGACAGAATACATCCCTGACGAACCCCCTTCTTGATTTTGAACCATGCAGTGTCTCCTTGCTCTGTTCTGACAACTGCCTCTTGGTCCGAGTATAAGTTTCGCATTAGCACAATCAAATGTTCTGGGATTCCCATTCTTCTCAGAGTCAGCCACAGCTTATTGTGATCCACACAGTCAAAAGCCTTTGCATAGTCAATGAAGCACAGATAGACATTCTTCTGGTATTCTTTGCTTTCTGCTAAGAGCCATCTAACATTAGCTATAATATCCCTAGTACCACGACCTCTTCTAAATCCAGCCTGCACATCTGGCAGTTCTCTGTTGACATATTGTTCCAAATGTTTTTGGATAATTTTCAGCAGAATCTTGCTTGCATGTGATATCAATGATATTGTTTGATAATTTCCACACTCTGTTGGGTCACCTTTCTTTGGGATGGGAACAAATATTGATCTTTTCCAGTCAGTGGGCCAGCTGGCTGTTCTCCAGATTTCTTGGCACAACTTAGTGAGCACGTCCAGGCATCTTCTCTAAAACACTAGTATTCAAGCATATAATGAATATCCCGTGGACTGCCAGAAGAACAAACAGATACGTCTTGGAAAAAGTGCAATCAGAGTGCTTCTTGGAGGCAAGATGGCAAAGCTTTGTCTCACATACTTTGGGCTTGTTGCTAGGAGAAGCTATGCTTGGAAAGAGACATCATGCTTGAAAAGGTCAAGGGCTACTAAAGAGAGGAAGATCCTCAAGAGGTGGATTGACACAATGATTATAGCAATGGAAGCAAGTGTGTCAGAGACGATGAGGATGGCACAGGATAGGACAGGGTTCAGATCTGTTGTTCATAGGGTCACTACGAGTTATACTCAACTGGACATCACCTAATAACAACTAAAAGAATACTAACTATATATCTTTATTATAATAAATATCTCTACTGCCCTGGCAGCATGGTATACATGTCACATTCTGGGGGCATGTCCAATGAGCTCAATGATATCATCTCCTGGACCACAGATGGTATCTATGAAAGCATGACCATTGGTGGGGACAGATTCCCCTGTTCAACATTCACGGATCTTATTTTACATCACCAAGACACGCCAGGAGTTAAAATGATTGTGGTTCTTGGAGAGATAGGAGTTACAGAGGAGTAGAAGATCTGCCAAGGCATCAAGGAGGGCAGCCTCGCCAAGCCCGTGGACTGCTGGTGTACTGGAACCTGTACCACCCTGTTCTCCTCGGAGATAGTTAAGCCATGCCAGAGCTTGTGCCAATCAGGATTCTAAGTGCAGTAGTCAAGAAGCAGGCTTTGAAAGAGGCTGGAGTATGTGTGCCCCGGAGCTTTGATGAGCTTGGAGAAATCAGCCAGACTGTATATGAGGATCTTGTGGCCAAAGGAGCCACTGTGTGTACTCAGGAGGTGCCTCCCCCATTGGCACCCACTTTGGCCAGAGAGCTGGGCTTGATTCATAAACCCATCTCATTCATGACCCGCATCTGAGATGAACGAGAGTAGGAGCTCATCTATGCAGGCATGCCCATCCCCAAGGTCCTCAAGGAGGAGATGGGTATCGGCGGGGTCCTTGGCCTTCTCTGGTTCCAGAGAAGGTTGCCCAAGTACTCTTGCCAGTTCACTGGGATGTGCCTGGACAGCCGATCATGAGCCATGTCTGGGGTTGACAACACCACCACCTCTGCTTGCATTGGGAAGGACTTGGTGTCCAGCCTCAAGTCAGGGCTGCTCACCATCAGGGATCGGTTTGGGGGTGCCTTGGATGCAGCTTCCAAGATGTTCAGTAAAGCCTTTGACGGTGGCATTATTCCCATGGAGTTTGTGAACAAGATGAAGAAGGAAGAAAAACAGATCGTGGGCATCGGTCACCCGGTGAAACTGATAAACAACCCAGACATGTGTGCACAGCTCCTCAAAGATTACATGACGCAGCATTTCCCAGGCACCCCTCTGCTAGATCATGCACGTGAAGTGGAGAAGATTACTACCTCAAAGAAACTATATGTTATCCTAAGTTGATGGTTTTATTGGTGTTGCATTTATAGACATGCTTAGAAACTGTGGGTCCTTTACTCAGGAGGAAGCTGATGAATATATTGACATGAGGGCCCTCAATAGCATCTTTGTGCTCAGAAGGAGCACAATTTTCACTGGACATTATCTTGATCAGAAGAGGCTGAAGCAAGAGCTGTATCATCATTTGTGAGATGATAATATGTTCTTCCAGAACTCATGAGCATGTAGTCAAATGAAGACAAGATCTCCTCCCCTGGGAAATGGTGCACAGACAGCTGGCACTGGAGCCCGCTATAGGATGAGCCACTGCTAAGGAGCCACTGATGGACTGGCCCAGAGACCAGCTCCCTCAGGCTAACACCACAGAGTCCACACAAAGAGGCCTAATTTTTTTTTTTTTTTACAATCATAGAAATAAAAACCAAGCTAATACTTGTGACATTTGCTCTGCTCCCTGCTGTTTTTATTATATGAAAGCATTTAAGCTTGGTCAGGATAGTTTTTCCTCATTATAGGACCTTATGATGTTGCTTTATTTTTTCTCATTAGCTTTTTAAGAAAAAAGAAGAGATTGAAACCTCACAATAGTAAATTTAAGGCACCACTAATATTCTTTACCTTTTCTTGCTTAATATGAAAAGCATTTTATTCATCTGTTTTATCTTGGTTGGTTTTGGGTTTTTGGGGTTTTCTTTTAGGATCTTTTTGTACGTTATATGCCAAAGGTTTGTTTGGTATCTGACTGAAACTTTCCAAGTTGCAAACCCAGATCTGCTTCTGTTAGGGGAATTGGAATCATTGCATTCTTAGCTATTGCTAAAAAAATATGTGAAGTAGCTAATTACAATGTAAAGCTGTAACATGTTGTTGTTGTTATGTGCCGTCGAGTCACCTGCGACTCATAGCAACCCTATGTACAACAGCCCTAAACTCTGCTCTATCCTGTGCCAATCGCACTGTAAATGTTTAAAATGGAAATGCAAAGCAAAAAGCTGTGAGAAGTCTTGTCTTGCTTTCTCCACATTTATGCAACTGACCTCTCTGTTACTGAAGTGTCGGTCCAAGGACTCTACTCCAGCCAGTTGGCATCTAATTCACAAAGATTCGGGACAGCTGCCACATCAGACTCCTCTCTGTATTATCAGAGTTTCATTTAAATAAACTATAGTAACAATGGGGGTGAAAAGAAATAGCTCACAAGAAGGATAATTTAGAAGTGGGAGGAGTCTATGCAATTGTATAGTGCCTCCATCATGGCATTTCATCCTTCCTTCTCTCGCTCTCCTTAAAACTTTCTTTGAAAGCAGAAGACGGGAGGGGTTAACCCTCATCACCCTTTATGGTAACAGGCCTTGGCTAGGGAGCCTGCTGGCCTTGCTAAGGACCTGGGCCTAGTTATGACTTTTCATATATCGTTTTATGTCAAGTAGTAGTAGTAGTTGTTGTACTAGTAGTAGTAGTAGTAGTAGTAGTAGTAGTAGTAGTAGTAGTAGTAGTAGTAGTAGTAATAGAACCAAAACCTTTGACAAATTTATAATAAAGGAAATCTTGGTTTGTGAAAGAGAGAAAACCAATTTTCTAGGACTAGAAAATATCTAAACAAAGGTTGTCCTCCCACAACATTGGGACAGTTCCTGGTACTTGTTACCCAATATCCATTTCCCCCTCTTGCTCATTAGCCAAAGCTCAATTTTGTTCAGGATAGAAATGTGCCCATTTATAAAAACTCATCTTCCCAAACTTCCATGTATGATTTTTTCATAGATAATATGCTTTCTCTATCCATTTCCAGTTGCTCCCTCTCCCAGTATATTCATAAGTGAAGTTGCTAAGTCAAAATGTTTATATGTTGCTATAAAAATACTAAATAATATAGTACTTTTACACAGTCCTTTATGCTTCTACTTCTGCCTCTAGCCCTTGGGTCTGCCTGGGACATATCTGTTAGTCATACAGGACAACAAATAAAAGGGGTGGATATATAAAAGGGATGTAAAAATGGCATACAAACAGTTGTAACTCATATTCACACATTCACACAGTTAATAACTGCAATACTAGTTAATAAATTAAATCTTACCACAAGAAATAGACTCTCACTAGTAAAATAGGAGCTCTGGTGGCACAGTAGGTAGGGAGCTGTGCTGCCAAGCCAAAGGTAGATGGTTCAAACCCATTCAATTTACAGCCTCCACAGGAAAAAGCTGGGCAATCTCCTCCCATTCAACATACAGCATCTGAAACCCCTCTGGAGAGTCAGCTATGAAGGGATGGAGGTGTTTGTTTTGTTTGCATATGAGAGTAAGAAAGAACGTTTTGGGGAAAATAATGACTATAAATTATACTGGACAAGAATGAAGATAAAAATTCTTCATTGCAATATCACTCACCAAAGCAACCCAGAACTTCCCTGGTCCAGAGTAAAATCCACAGAGGATTTGACAGGGAGTTGACGGGACGAAGATTTCAGGCAACGGCTCCTCTTCCTCTTCCTCCCCCTGTTCTGCCTGCTCCTCCTGGAACACTTTTTCTCCTTCTTCTCCCAACTCTTCTAGCAGCTCCTTCCTCCGTGTTTCCCTCTCCTTCTCCTTCATCTCTGCATGTTTCTTTCTCTTTTCAATTTCTATTAATCTCTTTTTAAAAAGAAAAAGGAACAAGGTAATGGTGGGCATGGATCAATGGTGATTAATTTCATAAAATACAATATATAGGAACGATCGAATGAAAAACAATGTAAAAAAAAAGAAAATCAATGTGAATGGAGAAAGGTGTGAAATACAATGTATTTAAACAAAGTACAATGTACACAAATTTTGTATGCAAACCAATATAAAACAAAAATAATTTTTTAAAAAAGAAAACCCCTTGTAACTCACATTCAAATGAAAATTTGTACTTTTTGGTGAAAGGGAAAGTTTAAAGAATATTTAAAAACTTACAACTCTGATGCAATGAACAATGTCATATAAAAAGAATTAATTTTGGAAAGCATTTCTTATTGGTAAGATATTAAAATCAATGGAAAGACTATAATTTCTGCTTTATTACTATAGATATTTGTTTTATATAAAGTATTTAGCTAGGGTTTTTTTCACTAATCTGATTTTTAAAAAACCTCACTGCTTATAACCACTAACTCTCTATGGGTTTTCCAAGGTTATAAGTCACATGGAAGAAAACTGTCCATCTTCTGAGGAGCTGTTTGTAGATTCAAACCTCCAGAGAGGGGAGGTCCTTGAGTTAGCTGCACAACTCCCTATGAGTTTCTAATAAGGAAGCTAACTAACTTATCAAAGAATTTAATCACTGTCACCCATGAGCCAAAAACAAAACCCCACCGTTTTAAGAGTCAGTTCTGACAGATAACAAACCCCCAACAGTTTCTGCAGCTGGATGTCTTTCCAGAAAGAGAGTGCTCATCTTTCTCCATCAGAGCAGATGATGGATTTGAACTACTGACATTGTGGTTAGCAGCCTGGCTCCTGGAACACCATAGCATCAGGGTTCCTTCACCCATGAATTGTTGTTACTGTATGCTGTCGAGTCAGAACCAACCCATAGCTGACCCTCCAGCAGATTCTCAGAGCCAGGCTCATGAACTAGGAAAACTGAAAAAATCCACAAGGAGTGCTGTTTTGACTTAAGTCAAAAACAGTGACTTATGTCTTCATATTCTAGCCACTGGTCATTTCAAAAGCCTCCTAACACTGGCCTCTCTACCTCTCATCTCATTTTGTTTACCTTTTCATGCTTTCTCATTCTTTATACTCTTCGGAATTATTTTCTTAATTTGTATGTTCTCACCACATCAATCACTTCCTCAGAAACTCACAGTTGTTTCCAATTGTCTAACAATGAAAAATTAAATTTGTCTTGACTGGCATGAAAGAATGCCATATGCTGACTGAATTTCAGTGGCATCCCTCTACAAAGTGTATCCCTTCATTGGCCTAGTCCATTTTCCGTTTCTAAAAATACTGAAAACTCCCTACTTTGCTTTCCCTCAAGATGCTCTCTCAGCCATTAGTGCACTTCTCCTTTTCATCCTCTCAAAGTTCTTCCCATTTTTAAAATGCAAGCACTGCTTTCATGCAGACATCTTTTATCTCATCTTATGTTTCCATCAGTTTCCTATACCCTTCCTTATGTACAACCTTGGGCATTTTTTCTTTGTATTTATTCACTCTGTAACAGCTGCTTTTTATATACAAAATTATTTGTTCCTTAAGATCAAGGCTATATTATATCTTATTCTTTGGATTCTCTAGCTATTAACACAGAATATTTTGTCTAAAAGAGAAAAATAATTCAATGATACTGATTCAAGGATATCCTATACCATAATCTTAGACTTGACACTTGTGAAATGGAAATATCGTATCTTCATGTCTTCGATATGATAGGAAACCACATCACGATCCACCTCTTCTTCCTTTATGACTGGAAGTGGTGCTTCAAGAATATAACCATTGTCACAGAAAATGAGTAGGGTACTTTGAGGCTTTAAAAAAAAAAGAAACATATAATTTACATTTAGGTATATTTTTAGAAGCTTAGCTCAAAAGATTTTCAGCTAGAAAAACTTAAAATTGCTACATATACTTATTACATTGTCAAAAGAAGTAATTTCTTACTGCAGTTATTACCAGTAATAAGTCAACCTGAAACTTTTCTGTATCCAAAATTAGCTCTATATTATTTCCTTTATAGAGTCTGTAACATTTTTCTGAACTCAAAATATGATTCTGAAGTCTCTTAACAAAAAAAGGAAGTGTATTCAAAGTAACAGAGTAGTATACTGATGATATATCTCATTGATACCCCCTTGGGTATCTCGTTCCATACCTGCCTGAATTTGTTATATGTTGTGTTGTTGTTGTTATGTGCCGTCAAGTCGTTGGCGACTCAAAGCGACCCTATGTACAACAGCCCTAAACACTGCTCTATCCTGCGCCAATCGCATTGCCTCTGACACACCCATCCGGATTGCCCCAGTCACTGAATCAATCCACCTCATAGAGGGTCTTCCCCTCCTGCGCCGTC